GGCTTGGTGTCGTACATTTGCAAGTTGTGCGGCCGTGAGGGGACCTCAGACACGTAGTAGAGGAGCACCGAAATTGTACAATGTTGGTGCACCATGGGATAGGACAGCCCTTGACATTGCGGAGCCGTTACAGAAAGGCGCAAGAGGGACTCCTAAAATCGTCCATGTGGATCGCCTGGCGCGTTTTTATGGGGCCGATAATGCTCGGGACGAGCATGTCTTAGGAGGGGCAGTGTTACGCGCCTAAGTCGACGGCACTAGCGCCATCTAGTGTCGGGTAACGGAGCGAGGGATGAGCTTTCCAGAAAATTACATCACTAAATCTTTCAACCGACAGCGCCACCTGTTGTCGAAATGAAGAACTAAGCTTCTGGAAGCTGACTCTCGAACTTTCGGCGCTTTGTCGATTGGTGCGCGTCTTTACTTGAATGTTCTGGATGATTCGGTACTAATGTGTATTTATAGGCGCTGCAAGGTGCGATCGGAAGTATTGAATTTGGCGAGACAAGCGAAGCTTCGGAGTGGAATAAAGTGAATCAGTGTGATTAATTATTAGTGTTTTAAGTTTAAATTTGTGTAAAAAAAGTGTTAATTTAGGTAATTTTATCGGCAATTTTTATTGTCACGAACCTCAAGCTCGTAACAGTAAGACTAAAAAGTATAGGAAGAAGAGAGCCGTGGTAGCTCAGATGGACGCGAACAAACCGAGTTCGATCCTCGTCGGCACCAATGAAATTGTTAATTGTCTTTGGTCACGTGTATGAAAGAGGAATGTGAAATTAAAGGTATCCGTTTGAATGCTAATAAAACTAAGGTTCTGATATTTGAAAAGGATGAAGAGAGAACGATATGTGAAATATGGGTAAATCAGGAATGTCTAGAACAGGTAAATGAAATAGTATACTTGGGGAGTGCTTTCAGCCGGGATGGAAGATGTGATTTAGATGTGGACAGGCGTGTCGCTGCCGGGAACAAAGTCAATGGTGCCCTGAATGCGTTAGTCAAAAGGCAAGGCGTAGTGAAGAGTGCACATCTTGCAATACATAATGCAGTGTTGGTACCGACTTTGTTATATGGCAGGGAAATCTGGGCATGCCAGAAGAAGCATAAGATCAAGTTGAATGCAGTGGAGAGGATAGAGGAGAGAGATTTCTTCGTAAAATGTGCGGCGTTACCATAGCCGTCCGAAAGCAAAACGAAGAGATTTGCAATATGGCAGGATTGAGAGATGACCTTATCACAAAAATTGATAACGTGCCCAAACCATCGGAGTACGCTCCTTACTCCGATGGTTTGGGCATGTTGAGCGAATGAGTGAAGACCCTTATTATTAATTAAAATATATACCCATTCACCTATTTAAGTAACTCACAAGTCTATTTTTAATGTAGGCCTCTACCAAACACGGTCATAAGGCACCAGCATTCAACGACTTCCTGCATGTCTTACCAGTCAACTCTATCTAATGGTCGGTTGTACCTACACTTCGCTTATGAGGCTACCACCAGAACCTTTCTTCCTCATCAGATGCCACGCCTGTTTACTGATATGTTAGGCTATCTCACGCAAAGAAACACCGAGCATAGACTAAATCTAATATTAATATTACATTTCTCATAATTTTTAATGTTATAGCTTATTCAATAAATTTAATTATCTGTATTGTATTCACAATCCAGAAATATATGATAATTTATGATATATAAGGTCTTCGTTTTTCTCGTATGGTCAGTTATTTTAGTTTTTAAAACAACCTGTATATATGACAACTTGATACACTTTAAATCTGGTTTAAGCTAACATTAAATCCTGATAAGCAAAGTTTAAACAAAACCTACATTTTATTTTAACCGTTATATTGCATCTCACTTTCCGTTTGTTACTTGATTCGAAGTGGTATTTTCAAAGTGGCTGCTTTATGTAAAATCACGATTGTTTTGTGTAGTTTAATACCTTATTACCTAGTGGCCTGGTATATAAATTCTCTATTTGTCAGTTTCAGTTAGAAGTGTTGTATGTACTTTTTCAAACTTCAAGCTATGAGATTGTATTTGTAGTACAGTAATTTAATATCACGAAACATGCCTACGCTGTTATTATTATTGTAAATCTTTTCAAATCAAAACCAACAAAATTTAAAATCATTAAACGCGTTCCTTTTAAATTGTCGCTTAAGGATTTCCAGCCTGGGTGTAATTTATTTCATAACCCGCTTTATAATCGTTTAACATGTTTACGTATATATGTATATATTGCATGCTTTAAGCGCAAAGCGCTTATTTATGTTCTACTGGCGACTAAAAATCAGGAAGCAGACGATTTTTTCGCATGAAATCGTATCTTACAATCATATTGAACATAATATAAATGATATAAAAAGCACACTGTCAGAACGATAAATTATTGTTGAAATTATAAATTTTTTAATCGATTATTTTGCTATTCTTACATGAAAAAGGTAGTTTTAGTGGCTTATGGTGTAGATTTATCAAGTCCGCATGGAGGGGTAAAAAAGATAACTTAATTTATTATATGGGAAGCCATAGAATGTAAATGGCAGTTTAATTTTGATTTATTTAGTTATAGTAAATTTTTTCAGTTAAAAAATTAAGAAAATTTCGGTGTTTCGAGCAGCCTTGTTAAAATATTTGTAACTAAATACACTTTGACTCATTCCGGACTCGGTCGACGTCGTGAGTAGATTACTGTATCGTATGTTTACAGCGGTTCATGTTGAAAAAATATCGATCACTGTAGAAATACAAAATATTCCAAAAAACAAATTTGATACATACTTGAGCAAGGTAAGATATTATTATTATTATTTATATGATCACAAAATGTTATTAAAATATATTGTTTCGCTAAAATTACATAGGATTTATATATAAATATACTTATATATACTACTCACTTATACGTCGAGGATAGATGTAGATGTCTGTGAGTCACACCAAACACATACCATCATGTGGACTGTGTGCCCGTTTGCCACCCTTATACTATAAAAAAATCGATGTGTGGAGTTTAAGATTATAAAACTCCAATATTACTCTAATTCAATTAATACAGTATATAAATTTATTAAATTTACATTGGCCTCATAGCAATGATAATAAATAATAATTATTATATGACATGGATGATTTATTATTGGATATTTACTAAACTAAGATTCTTCTCTATATTATATTGTCTAAAAACATCGTTTTTATTAACCCTGAAGTGACAAACGACCTTTCAGTCCATATGATGGTAAGTGGCTCCTGCAACTCTTGGACATCCGCAGCCAGCTTCAAATTTATCACCACTGCGGACTAAGCTGGAATGCCACACAGCCTGTAATTATAACGTCTCTCTATATTCTTTATTCGATAGGGTATGGTTCTGAATTATATAAAAAATATATCTTTCAGAACTTTATCTTTCAGACTGAAACACAGAAGTAAAAGTACTGATATTTGCTGACAAAAATTGGTAAGATAATATTTATCCAGACGTCTGTCGTAGTCAGAAAAATATCATAGCAATAGTTTGATGTGATTGTCTTTATAACTACAGTTTATGCAATGTTCGCTACAAATTTACTTTTGATATTTTATTGTAAAATAAAAATAAAACTATTTTCATTTTTCCCTCACATTATTAACCGTCTTGTTGCAGATCCATAAACAAAAAGCACAACCAAATTTAAGGTTCAAAATATAGTCGAATAAATCCGGTTTCAAAAACCGTAACATATTTCAACATTTCAAGTCATATGACCATATAATTAAGCTTTCACTTCAACATTGTTTATTTTAGGTCAACGTAGAATTATCACCTTACTTCTGACGAACAATGGTATTCTCATAAAATACGAAAAAGTTTAAACCAATGCATTTTCTCCGTCAGCTACGGATACATAATTTGTAATTATTTCTAGTGTTATCAGTGAAGTAAGGCAAAAAGTTTCTAGAAGCATTTGCAGGAAGTGTTGTAAAAAGGAGGGAATAAAATCGGCATATTACATGGGGTGTTAAACGTATAACATAAGTAAAATGACTAGAATTTTACAAATTATAATCATAAGTTACTCTTGTCTTATACTAACAATTACTTTTGATTTCGGAAAAGCTAATGTGCCTAGTAGAACACAACATAGGCACAGAAGATATTTAAGCTTTGGGAATATTTCGCATTTCTTCGTAAGTGTTTAAGATCCTTTTTATTATTTTTGTTAATTACTTCACCTTGCCGTGTAGTGGCAGCATATTTAATACCCTGTAATATCCCGTGGTCGGGAAATGAAATAAGAGATGGGTATCAGTATCTTCCCGGTAACAATTCGAGGTAACAAAAAAATGCGGTTGGCAACCCGCCTACCAAGCGTGGTACTGCGTGGCCAATTTGCAATATAAGGCCATCTATGGGAGAGGTCTATTTTCAACAGTGGATTTTTAGCCGACTTCAAAGAAAAGAGAAGGCTTAGAATTCGACTGAATATTTTATTATGTATTTACATTTTTTATAGAATAAGGGTGACAAACGAACACGGTCCACCTGATGGTAAGTGGATGCTGTGGCCCATAGACACCTACCTGCATTAATACTCGATTTAAAATCAAAACGCAGATACGTTGTCACTCCTGAGGACGCCGATGGAATGCCTCGTTTCCAGTAAAAAATGGTCTCCGGATCTCTACTTTCACCATACGAAAAATAGCAGTATTAAGCTGCTTTTTTAAGTTGGTATTCTGAGAGAGCGTGATCCTGCCCCGGTCAAACCCACCCATTCGTGCTACAACCATAATATTGCTGCAGCATTTGCATTGCGATTCTTAATTGAGGATCAATGTGTATGTCTATGGGCTACAGCATCCACTTACCATCAGGTGGACTGTGTGCTCATTTGTTACCCAATGCTGTAAAAAATAACATTTAAAGCAATAAATACTTTAATAATGTGTCTATTAATCGGAATAATATTTTTACAGCTACGATTAAATTTCAAAGCAAACATGGTGCCGTGGAATCAGATATTTGCTCAGGCACTAGGTTTCAGAATGAACTGGAACGATCCGCCAGATTCGTTCCACCCTTATCATCGCTTGTACAGGAGAACCGTTTACAATCACCTTGAGACTTTATTGGACAGGTATTACTTTTGTTTACGAAGCTGCTGTATTGTGTTAAAATATCAAACTAGTAAATAACGGTGCAATATTAAGTTCTTTTTATTGTGTGTATGTAATTTTGAGTCTTTTAAATCATACGTTTGGAAATTTATTACCGTTACCGTTACTGTTAAAGAGCCGTGGTAGCTCAGGGGCTAAGCGCTCGCTGTAAATTCCACAGTACGCGAACAACCCGGGTTCGATCCTCGCCGGCACCAATGAAATTGTTAATTGCAATTTTAAGTGCTGATTTACCATGTGCTCCGCGGAAAAGGAAAACATCGTGAGGAAACTTGCATGTCTGAGGAATAAAAAAAATATTTCGAAGACATGTGAAGTTTCGCATTGGGGCAGCGCCGAGAACGATTCCTTGCCCTAAAATTCTCTCAGAAATAAGACCAGTGCCCAGCAGGGGGACGTATACAAACTGTTACTTCACTGTTAACGTTACATCAAATAAAACTATTTATACGGATTTTATCGCGTTTAATCATTGACTTATATATTACTAGAATCATTGCGTTTAATTCACTTATTTTTAATTCTCGACGTTTCGGGTGCTTTCGGTTTTTCAGTTTTCAGGCTACCTTCAGTTTTTGAATATTAATTTTTGGTCCAATTTACGTAGTATTAGCTTACAGTATCTCGAAGTTTTGCAGTTGTACGCTTGGGTTTGGATTTAATTTTTTAGTTATAGAATCTCAAGTTAATGACAGCACCCATTAATCTTTTACATTGTAGTTAGAATGTTTGTTTACAATGATAATTTCAATAGCCTCGCGTATCGTCCATGGTAGGAATCGGTGTTCTTTTGCGAGGATTTGTGGTGTATCAAATCTAATGTAATGGTGGAGACGATCTTGAACATGTTTACGGACTGCAGACTTCCCCGATCGTCGGTGCTTCACGTCAGCTATATCGGGTAATATAAGTTAATTAAACGCGATAAGTCCGTATAAATAGTTTTATTTAATGTGTAGTGTTCTCGTAAATATAAGAAAACATTATGCTAACGTTACAGCCTATTAAAGTCCACTGCTGAACGTAGGTCTCCCCATAGACTGCCTCAGAGGGGGGATATTTACTACAGTTGCCACGCTTGGCAATTGGGTTGGAAACTACAGTTTTTTCTTTTTAGTCACTATTGGGTAGACGCTGCCGCGTATCTCCTGATTTGTTTCCCTCCGTTACCCCTAATGACACCCACTGAATTATATGGCGTAGTGGATATTCTTACACCGCCACTACTCGGTAAACATATTACCTAGGGAATTTATTACAAAATTTAAAACAATGTAATGCAATAGTCTTTATAAGACCCACTGTCTCAGGCCAGTACAGACCTCCTCTTGCTACTGAGGTGGTTTTCGGGCAAGGAAATATCTGCTGCATCGCCCTAATGCTTGTTGCCGGATTTCACGTTTCTTCATTTTTATTTTTTATTTCGGAGACATACAGATTTCCTGAAAATGATTTTCTTCACCTACGAGCGCACAGTGAATCAGTACTTAAAATTTCTATAAACAATTTACATTAGTGCGGTGGCGGGATCAATCTTTGAAAGATTATACTACCATCGCTTTAAGCCCTAAATACTTAACACAAATTAGAACCACTACTAAGAACTAAAATAAACTTATTGAAAAGAAAGATTTTATTAGAATAAAAAAATAGCTAACGTGAATGTTAGCTCTCTTTTTTCATTTTTAGATTTAACATTTTTATAACAAAATGTTGAAACTAAAACGTATGCTTTAATACGTTATTACTTTTAGGAATGGCCTAGAAGGCTTCCATTGCGTGCGTCGAGCAATTTGCGAAATGGACAAGATCTCGCAACCTAGAGGAATCTACTATAAAATTTTAAAAATGGTTTTTAGGTAAATATTTTAAGAGCAAAGCTCATTTTTATAAAAATATGTTTACTTTGCTTGTATTAAATAGTATTTTGGAATTATCCCATTATGCAACATTCATTCTACAATTTTTCTAAATAAGTTTAACAGTACCTACTTTTCGTGGTCATTTTGTTTTGAAATTTAATTCGAATATAATTTTAAATAACCATAAAGATATTTAATAATAATATAAACATAACATTTTATGTAAACTGTTTCTATCTACACACCTTTAATTTATTTCTAGGGTATTATTATGCATTTGTCAAATCGATGGATGGATTTTACAACGTTTTTTAATATGATGGTAGCACAAATGGGTCTTCTCGAACGGGGAAGGATTACGCCCTCACATAATACCAGCGTAAAATAGCAAAATAATGCTGCTGCGTTTTATATGGTGAGTTTAGAGGACCGGAGAGCCCATTTATTGGAAACAAGGCATTCTATCTTAGTCCTCAGGGGTGACAACGCAACTGCATTTTTAGTCCTGATCGAGGATAAATTTAGATGTTTATGGGCCACCGCATCCACTTACCATCAGTACTGTGCTCGTTTGTCACCTTTATACTATAAAAAGGTGGCTCAGGACCGTGCTTCGTGGAACTTCTCGGGAGATCCCCATGTTTAGCAGTGGTCTTGTGACGGGCTGCAAAAATAAAAATTAAGTGCATTTGAGAGTCTATAACTATAGAAGTATCAGATATTTTGTGCATGTTTTTCTTTATCCTATATTAATTTACCTTTATGCACTATTAAATTAGACTTATTTTACAGAAATACTTAAACTTTAAAATAATATTACACTTTAATAAAATTTTAGGCGCAATTCAGCTGCAACAGATAAATGGCACAACGCGACTGAGGAAGATTGCAAATTATCCATCACGACCTGCCCTTTCTCGATGCTCGAAGTTTCTACGTATACAGATTTTTAGTTGAAATATAACAGTATATATTGCAACTTTTGTAAATATTGTTGTTTATTTATTGATATTTTTAATAGTTTAACAGTTGTATAAGTCAAGTTCTTTTATAAACCTCTATTTTCCCATTATCATACGAATGACAACTTTTATCTACTAACCTTAACTCTACTCAAGCTGTCAAAATAAATATGCCTAAATTGAAAGTAATAACCTAGTGAAAATAAATTTTATACGTGGTAGAGTGACGCTGCAGCTATATTATGATTGTAGCACGAATGGGTCTGATCGATTGGTAAAATAGCAGCTTAATACTGATGTGTTTTGTATGGTGAGTATAGAGATCTAGAGACCATTTCTTACTAGAAACAAGACATTCCATCTTATTGCTTATGGGTGACAACGAATCTGCGTTTTGATTCCTAATCGAGAATAAATGTAGATGTCTATGGGCCACAGCATCCACCTACCATCATGTGGACTGTGTGCTCGTTTGTCACCCTTATTCTATAAAAAAATGAGGGTCTCATTTCCAACAATAGACTCTTGATATCGTCATAATGACTATAATAGTAAATTAGATCATAAGATCTCATTTAAAGTTTTACTTACATTTAATATTGCCATACAGTCGCTTTTATTTAAAAAAAAGTTATAATTTAAACCGTTTCGTTTTACTTTAGTCCCTTATGCACGAATTAAGGATATTTATTAAACAAAATAACCTTTCGATCGCCTACTAGTAAGATCCTACGACAACTTTTTTATTCATTTATTTTCAGTCGCAAATTTCAAATTAATAAGAAGAAAACGTTTCGTCGGATATAGGAGCTGAGCACTGGACGTCTTAAGCTCGATAAGTCCTCTTAAGTAACGTTGATTGAAAAGACTAAGTAATTACTTTTTTGAATTCTTTCACAATTACATGATGAAGTTGGTGTAACTAAATAATTTAAATTAAACGGTAAAAAGGAGTTTTTTTTTCTTATATAGAAAATAGGTGATAAGCGAGTACACAGCCTACCTGGTGGTAAGTGGATAATGTGGCCCATAGATATCTACATCTATCCTCGCTTAAGAATGAAAATGCAGATGCGTTGTCAGGACTGAGGACTAAGATGGAATGCCTCGTATCCAATAAAAAGGATCTCTGGTTCTTTACACTTACCTTATGAAACACAACACCATTAAGCTGTTATTTTACGCTGGTATTCTGTGAGAGCGTGTTACTTCCCCAGTTAAGCTGATTCATTCTTGCTACTACCATAATATAGCTGCAACATGGCTTTACTACGTATAAATGATTGTATTATAAGCAATATGAAATAAAGAGTAGGAATGTTGGCTTACCATACATTTTTTTAACTTTCTCATCGCAAGAACAATCTACTTTTGAGTACAATCCTTTCCCATAATTGGAAGAATTACGCCCGATCGCAACGCGTTAGCTGGTTATTATTAGAATATGTTTATGATTCTTCATATACTACACCTACCAGTCATGAGTATCTTACCTAGAGAAATCAAGTTACTTGAGAATCAAGTAGAGATTCAGGTATTTCATCCGAAATGTTAATCAATTTCTTTAACACTATAAAGGTATGTATAACACTTAAAGACACCTATAGGTTGTTTAAATTTTTATTATACTATGCACTTTTGACCTGGATTTCTTAATATGTAGTTAAACTAAAAGGGGTTAAACTTTCATTCTGTTACGACTTAGACAACATAGCACACTTTAGGGATCATATTTTTAATTTAGCAACATCTTTAAAATCACATCTCTATTTTGGATTAACAACTGTTGCTTCTTCCAGAATGTTGAAATGTTACCTCCGACAGAGGTTCCTCTAAACGCCGTGTGCACGTGGAAATAAACTTAAAGCCTATTCTTTTTCACGCACCTACGATTTTATATATTGATACAATATTTTGTCGTCTCACCTTTTGCCCAACCTCATTAACGTAGTTAATTTTAATTGTGAAACACAAATATACGGCAAGGGAGTTGAATAATTTGTTGGCTACTGTCTTTCTGTCTGATTGCAATCTGGGTGTCTTAAAGGCAAGAGTTACTTTAAGATAAAGCAATTCACCACCTTCACCGCTTACCATTAGGTAAGATCATCATCAAGCACTGGCTTCTAATAAGGAACTAAATTTTCTTACTTCTCTTCGTTTTGTAATAAGCGCGGATCATTTTTCGTACAAGTTCATCTACCATGTACCAGTACTCACTTAGAATGAAGGCTCCATTTCTGACAAAACGTGGAAGTAGGTGCAAAATAACTAAATCACATACACACTCTTCAATTTGTGTATTCTTGTCTGATAAAATTGATCATAAACAAAATAGGGTCAACCAAGTAATTTCTTAAATTTACGCGGACACTACACATTAAATAAAACTATTTATATGGATTTAATCGCGTTTATTTAACTTATTTTTAATTCCCGACGTTATGGGTGCTTTACGTACCTAAGCCATTATTACGGGGGACCGTTTGACGTCCCAATATCATAGTTAGCCCAACTACCTTCAGTTTTTGAATATTAATTTTTAGTCCGATCTACCCAGAACGAGCTTACAGTATCTTGAAGTCTTGCAGTGGTATGCTTGGTTTTGGATTTAATTTTATTAATTATAGGAACCCAAGCAGATGGCAGCACCCATTCAAATTCTCTATTGAAATTAAGATGTTTTTTTTTTAAATTTCAATAGCTTCGCGTATCATTCTTTTTCATCTCATTTCATCTGTTTATTAAATCTGATGTATGTGGTGGGGACGATCTTGAACATGTTCACAGACTGCAGACTTCCCAGAGCTTCGGTGCTCTCAGCTATATGTTATAATAGAAACATTTAATTACAAGTTATTTAAACGTGATAAAATCGGTATAAATAGTTTTATTGAATAGGGTCAACGTATAAGCTTTTTACGCTCCTTTTGAGTTATAATCCATCACCAATAAAATTATTAGTTATTACTCTGGCTAATTGACTACATGAAATACATAAAAGTTGAATTGACTGTCTCGTTGGTCTATTGATCCTAAACGTCATCATCATATTTTCATCTCATAATTTTGGTTCAGGGTTCAAATCAGGCCAAAATCGGTTTTTGAGTTTTTCTGCTAAGAAATTATCAGCAATACCTGCCCATAATAAGGTCACGGTCGCGAACAGTTCGCACTGACTTTACTTTTCGCTTCTTGCGATGCAACAAACGGCAACGTTCGACAAAATATCCGGCGGCCGGATACACGGCTATCCGGCATAAGACTGACCGAATATCCGGTATCCAGCCAAACATCTATCCGTTTCATCTCTAGTAAAGAGTCTACTACTTTCTAAAAAGTAGGTAAGGCCCCTGTAATTCCTGTTGTGTTGCGGATATTCATGAGCGATGGTGATCACTTAACATCTGGTTAGCCGTATACTTTTTTGCCTTCTCTTACCTAAAAGATCTCAAAAATAATATCATGTAAAAGTAAAAAAGGATTAGGTAAAAATAAGATGATTTTTCTAAATTTCTCTAACTTATGAAATGATATTTCACCTAACATATTCTAAAACTGTATCGCTTTATCCTTATTTATGTCCGTAGACACATGACAACTCAGCCAACAAACAAAGCCAACAGAACACTTACACAAAGCCTGTGTAAATTTTCCAAGAAAAAGATAGTCCGTGCGTGACCTGTAGCATGTATGAGACTCACTTTATCTACTTGAGATATAAGCGGTACACAAACAGTATCTTTTATGAGTACGCATTATTGTACCTATGAGTCGTAAGCATGTTGCATATAAACGAAGTTATGTATTGTAACATAGAAGTTAATGTGAAAAATACATGTTTATATAAAATAAAAACGTGTCAAGCATTCCTGAAATCCCTTTTTATAAGGACATTGGTGTGGTGATCCTAAACGCGACTACTGATGAGAGGTTTCATCTTGATCATCATCATCGATCATTCTGGGTTCGATTCCCGGGTCGGGCCAAAAATAGCTTTTCTGTCGAGAAATTCTCACCACAGACCCGAGTCAGGAAGTTGGTGGTGTTTCGCCCTCGTGCATCGGAAAGCACTTAACGGTGATTATGCGTCTATTCTTTCTCTACTCGTGTCTGATTGTTGTACTGCGCAGATGACAAGACTCTGTTGTGACGGGCCACCGTAACCGGAATTTGATCTGGAGGACATTACCTATTTTTATTAAAAGAACATTTATTTTTATATGATGATATTGTTAAAATTATTGTTTGGTGTCTATAAATTCAGTGATGAGCTAGCAGCGGGTTGGCCGTTTGGCGTGCGTGATATACACAAGCTCATGCTTCAACAATGTGTATATATCAAACGTTCCACTAGACTATATGCACTTTGCAAGCTACCCAATGAGGCCTTACTCAGTAGAGGAGGTTAGAGAGAGGCGTCATTAAAGAGCGTTAGGGAGAGGCATCAGTAGGGAGCGTTAGTGAAGCATGCAGCGTCGCGTCATGGCAAAACTCACTCTCAAAATAATACGTATTGTAGTGTCCTGAGACTCATATATATAGACATCTACATTTATCCTCGATTAAGAATCAAAACGCAGATTCGTTGTCACCATTGAGGACTAAGATGAAATGCTTAGTTTCCAGGAAAAAAGGGTCTCCGTTTCTCTATACTCACCATACGAAACATAGCAGTATTAAGCTGCTATTTTACGCTGGTGTTCTCTGTGAGCGTGGTCCTTACTCAGTCGAACGGACCCATTCGTGCTACAACCGAAAGCAGCGTGGCTCTATCATGTATAAAACTACTACATCTAGTGAAGGGCCGCAAGTATGAGGCTATCACTCGAGAACATTTCTTACACATCGGATGTCGTTTTTTAGAGCCATGACCGGCCTATTACTACTTCTGCTTACTGATGCTATGGGTTATGTCAGTTATTTTTCAGTTATTTGGCAGATAAATTACGTAAAAAACCGTACCATCGCACACTGCGTGACCTCGAGCTTACTTATTACGTTAGCAGCATAAAACCACGTTTGTTCCATTAATTCTGTAAATAATCACTGGCAAAAAGCACTAGTTGTTTACTTCGTGTAAGAAGAAAGAAGATTTATTGGGGTTTCCCGAACGTCGGTTGACCCCTTAGTTCTTATTTAGCCTACATGCAATTGTTCCGGTCTGGATATTTGTTAGTGCATAATTTATATACATCTATGTACTCCTACCAGGGAAATATTTAAAGTGTGAGGTTATAGTTTTTTTAAGTTTAATATTCAGCCAGCTTATATAATGCAGTGGACTTCACTTGACATGTTCGCTGAACATGAGCCCCTTCTTTTTTTTCTTTTCCATCTCCTTTTTCAATTTCCCCTGTCATTTCTTACGATACCTACAAGATTATGTGGGGTAGTGGATAATCTTAATCCACCACTGGCGCCACTACACGATCAAGACTTAAATAGAGTATATTTTTTATCAAAATTTCCAGGTTTCAAAGGTTCCATTGCCCTTCAAACTGAATCAAAAGTATCAGAAAAAATGTTTTTATTTACACTTTACACTTTGATATTATTTTTCGTAGTATTTAGTACTTACATCGACACTTCACAAAATTCAGTATTCCAGCTTCTTCTTCTTTCCAGCCTGATGTAGGGACTTGCCTTAATAATAACGTTTACGCAGACTGAAAACTCCAGTTAGTAGTCATGCACCTCGTACCTTATTCACTGCTTCCCGTCGAAGGTCTGCTTATTTTACACACGTCCTACATGAGATGGTTATCCTGCCAACCATCGGCATCCAACTGAGATTTTTCTGCCACAATATTTTTAGATGACAGATATGACACCCACGGCACGACGGAGGATGTTGGATTCTATTAAGCTTTCTACATACGGAAATATTTTGTTTCAGTATATTTATAATTATGTCCTCCAGATCGAATTTCGGTCACAGCGGCCTACCTCAACGGAGACTAGCCATCGGACGCAGGACTGGATAATGATCCTCAAGTGTATGCGCAAGCACAGGTGCACTCTCTATCCCCTCACTCTCATAATCTGATGGGACGGTAAACCGACAAGGCCGAAGAGAGATCAGGTGCAGGACCAACGGCTTTACGTGTTTTCCGAGGCACGGAGGTGAGACACCGCCAACTTCCTGACTCCGGACAGCAATTGAGAATTTCTTGACGGAAAAACTAAATAATTGATTTTGACCCGACCCGGGATTCAAACCCTCATGATCAGCAGTCGCACTACTACAGCCACTGGATCAACGAGGCAGTCTCAGTATAATTATATATATTTTACTGTTAATTAGAGTAAAGCCAGATGCAACAGGAGGTCGGGTGCCGCAAAATACTTTACTCGTAATTACGTGACACCTGGGGTAAGACAGTGTTATATAATATAGTTATGTTTTCAAAATATATGATAAAATTGAATACACAAAACATTTTATTTTGTTTTATTCATCTCTCAGCTTGGAAATCAACTCCAAAACACCTTGACCTTCAGGACAGTTATTGTAAATAGAAGCACAGTTGAACATCTGTCGTCCAGCGGTGGCTGCATCTATGTACGGAGACATCATATCATACCATTCTGGATCGTTTTCTTCAAACGGCGAACGGCCATAATCTGGTCTGTGAAAAAAAAATAGGTTGTAAGTTCTGTTGTGTCTACGAAAACACCAAAAGCGCTAGATGCAAAACTCTTCACTGATCTAGTCCACACAAAGGCGGGTAGAAGTAATTTAAAAAATTGTGAAGGACTTATTTACGATATTATTGATAGGCAATAATAAATAAATTACAATTGATATACCTATTGATCTTAGATCGATAGGTATATCAATTGTTATTGATCGCTAGTTTGTTTAGTTTAGTTTAGTTTCATTAATATAAACAAACTAGCGATCCGCCTTGATTTTGCTTGGGTAAGATCTCAGATTCATAATGTAATGTGGCGTTACTTAAATTTAAGATTATCAAAGTCATTTATTTTATCAATTTCTGGTTTTTAGAAAAAAATTAAAATTTTAGGATAAAATATCATCAGTATCACTCTCGGCATTGTTCTGAATCTGTTCGTGAAGTTTCATTACAATCGATTCAGCCATTTTAAAGATTAGCCTGGACAGCCAAACAGTGCATTTTTATAAAAATGGCAGCATAAAGGCAGTTATTGTAACATCACAGGCATACTCTTCTATTTTTTTATGTATAGATAAGAAACAAAATAAAAGAAAAATGTATAATAATTATTAATTTGGCATAGTTTGAATATAGTAGTAAAATATTAAATAAGTTTTAATGTGATATAAACTCACTAACAATTGCATTACCACTGCAACATGTAACAACGAGTAACAACGGGTAAACTTGACAAGGAAAGCTATACGCTCTCACAGAATACAAACATAAAAGAACAGCTTAATGCATTTTTATGAGAATGAGACTTTCATCTGAGTCCTAACAAGTTACAACGCATTGTGTTGTGATTCTTAATCGAGGACAGAGAGAGTAAGGTGTTTTGTTCAACGGAATCCACATATAATTAGGTTAATTGTGTGCTCATCTGTCGCCTTTATTTGTTTAAAAAAAAACATATCCTCAATATATATAAATTAGGTGTCACGTTGTTTGTCCGCGATGGACTCCGAAACTACTTAACCGATTTTAACACACACCGTTGCACACCGTGTGCGGTCTGGTCCAACTTGAGAGATAGGATAGTTATTTGGCCATGAGTGATGCACAATTTTTTTGGCGAATTTAAGGATTTTTAATAGGACATGACAAAGGGTTGTCAAAAAAGGCAGAACAACGTCTGCCTGGCATGCTGGTGTTTATATATTTTTGAAACTTAAATTAATGATAGTTTACTCTGAATATTATATGTATTTCACGTGAATACAATTGTATTTTACAAGTCTACTTAGGCATAGGTGTAAACCTTCCCAATAAATTGCCACACAGTACGATCCTGATCCATCTGCATCCAGCGGCAGCATGCGTCTTTCATAAGATCGTCACTCCATCTGTTGGGGAGGTAACCCAACACTGTTCTTGTCAGAACGAAGCTGCCATTCAAGATCGTTTTCTCTATCGCTTGTCGGAAAAAACACACACAGGAAAATAAATATCCTTATTTTAATATAACTATAATGATTATTTATTGGTTTTGTATGTCTATTTTGCACTTTAAAATCTGACTAATAATCTGATACTGTGTTACGCATTCTGCAATATTAACTATTTTCGTTACATAGAACCGTGGTAACTTAACGATTAACAATTTTGCAATGCATGAGTAAATATAGTACATACGATGCCGCTGATACCAACGCAATAGTTAATTGCAAAGTGTTGAGTTTACTACATGCCCAGCGGTGAAGGGAAGCATTATTAAAAACATGGCTGTCACTTAGTTTTCTACGACATGCGATGTCCGCAAAAACATTTTGTGAGCACGGCCGACAAGGAAGACTGTGTCCTAAAGTACGTATCACATGTAGGCCGTCACATTACTTTTTATTTAAACTAATTCGTTAGATGTCTGGATCGACTTAACATATGAGTACTTTTTATTCGTAATACCGAAATGACAAACAGACCTGATCCTAAATGGCTACTGCAGTACATGACTACCTTTTTTATCGTGGAGAAATACCTTCTACTGCGGGGGCAACAGGAAGGTTATGCTGGACTCTTACCGGCCAAAACCCCACGGTGATCACGGTGATCAGCATATATATGAGGAGTCCCGGGAACAACTGCAATACCGGGGGAATTGCAGGTGCGTTGCCGGACTTTTAGAAAGGAATATGCTCTTTTCTTGATGGTCCTAATATCCACATATATTGGTCCGGAATAATCACCGGTGGTGAATAATTCCACAAAGAAGTTGTACGAGGAAGAAACTCCTAGTAAAACGCACAGTGGTGGACATGGTATCGTGAATTTTGTGAACGTGATGTGCGTTCGTGAAATTTGACGGCTGGAACTAATCCGAACAATTCCTCAGAACACTCTCCGTAGCAGTTGCGATAGAAAACGCAAAGGGATGCAACATCCCCAGCGTTTAATTTTTCTCTTTGTCGTCACATCGATAGGTATAATATGATTTCGAAAAGAGAGATATCTATACTGGATTTACCCTAATACCTGAAAGGCCTGTAAAGGCTCAGTCAAGGAAATACAATTTTGACAGTAGTTTTGATATTATGATTTAAAAAAAACTTTACCATACGATTACAGTAAAATAACAAATAAACGTAATTTATTTATTGTTCAATCTGTGAGTATGAGATACTTACGTTAGTAAAATGTGAATTACTTCGCCAACAAGACCCTCTTCATTCATTGGATATTGAGCTGCTTCACAAATAGCACGCTTTACACAGTCCACTCCGTTCATGCCTTTCCTAGAAATAAATATAAACCGAGTGAGAGTAGTGCAAGTGAATCTATATCCCCATTTCGTCATACGGAGACCTCTTTTACTGGAAATTAGGTATTCCATCTTAGTCCTCACGGATAACAACGAACTTGCATTTTGATTCGTGAAGAGTAATGTGATGTCCGCCAATACGAATTGAAACAACACAGTGGACACTTCCTTGCCCTAAAACCCTCTCTGAAGTGAGAGAACGCCTGTGCGTATCTACGTACTCATATACAGGCTGTATATTTAATTTTAAGCGAGGTGTCATGTCGCAAGGCTCAGAAGCATAATATACGCGACTAAAACCGCGGGCACAAATAGTTCTACTGAGTGATTGAGGCTTCGGTTCCCTCTGCTCCCGACCGAATAAAAAAGTACATATCAACTTGATTGTAATCCTCACCTGTATCATATCTTATATTGTTCTTTACATGTTTTGGGGGCAGTATCTTTCAAGGTCACCATATCATCTCTAGGTTGTAGTAAAAAGCGACGTAATGAAATGAAACAGGCGATAAGCATATCTTTTTAATAAGGACTCAAAATATAAAAATGTCCTGTTAAAAACCCGCTCACCAAGCGTGGCTGCTGCGACAAATATCAGCTTTACGAGGCAATCTATTTAGAAAGCCTACGTTTAGCAGTGGAATTAACTACAGTGATATTGATGAACCACATTAGAGCGGCAGAATGAGTCAAATTTTGCTTCATAACTCACTCAAATTTCATCAAAGATTATAGATTTTGCGTTCTCACCAAGCCTTTAATAGCTTCAGGGTTATCATGCGTCCAGCAAACAATTGAAACAATTTGCCTCCATCAGCCTTCTTTCATAAGGTGTTGGTGTAAATTAATCCATCACCCCATCCATCCGTTAGAGGACTATAGCGTAATGCCAATTCGATTGTACGACTATCGATAAAAGGCGGTATTATCAATATATTTACAGGAGGCGCAAAATAGTCAGACAAGTTACAAGAAGCAATGTTACAGATGCGTAACGATCGTCATTCCACATGTTTAGCTTGGTGATTAAGATGTATTCTCCCGCAATGACAGAGGTCCTGTTTAGCTGTAAACTTAAATGCGTTAACGATGAAGAAAAAGTGACTGAAGTATTATTAAGACGAGAACTAAGCAGAGTAAATTGAGTTGTAAAAATATTTGCTTCAAGATAATAAACCCACCTTTATTCCCTACATCATTAATCAGTTAAAGGTCAAAGAAAAAAATAAATATGTTTCCTTACATTTCTAACATATCCGCTGCTGCTTTATAGAACACAAGTCTTTCATCTTTCCGCTCATCGATATTAACATCTCTCTGTTCTCTTGCGACCTGGTTGATAACGTAATACTGCGACAATTGTGTTATATTTTGAAATTGTACATACTGATATTGGAAATTGATTGCAAATGCTAGACTGACATAATCATCACTAGGAACAGGTGAAGCCATCCCAATCAGGAGCTGAAATTTTACGAAAATATTGTTAAAAACTTATTAATATTTTTAACATTAAGACAAGAGCCTGTATCTGAGAAACTGAGAAATAAAAGACTTCGACGACATAATAGGTCAAGAAAAAGTTTCTTCGTATTTTATATACAAATTTAAGACTTTTTTTTTTCAAAGTTTAATTGTATTTAATTATAATATATATGTGCTCTTGTGTTCAATAACTTGTTTCCATCTTGTAGGTAATGATATAATCCTGTGGCTGTAGACTCTTGGGGGTTTGATCAAAAAAAAAAATACAACAAGTAATTTTGTACAGTTCTCTCTTGATTATTAACCTAACACCACCCAAAGAATTCTCAAGAGACCGAAGCAGGTGAAAATCTAACGATACAAGGTCAGGACTATATGATAGATGCATGAACACTTCCCAACCAAGCTTTCTCAATTTTTTCTGAGTGTGTGTGGTCTGGTGTCATCATGATGAAAGACCACTCCTTTTTTGTTTATAAATTCCAACCATTTTTTCTCAATTTCGCTAGCGTCTCATTAGTATTTAGCAGTAGAGATCTAAATCGATGGTTTTGCCCGGCGATAAAAGCTAATAAGAATACAACGGCTCTCCAGCACCTTAAAAACGGCAAGATCCCAGGTGAGGATGGAATTGCAACGGAGCTTCAGAAGCTGGTGGAACACCGGTACTTAGTCCTTAAGAAGTAGGCTTAGGAAATATCTCTCTTACTCTCGCATCTATATATTGGATTTGAATATCTGATATTGAATCTATATATTTCAATATCTGTATATCCGTTAATAACTGGGGGTGATTGCCATAGTTGCTACGCTTGGTGAGCGGGTTGGCAACCCCAGTATTTTTATTGTATAATTGCTGTTAGCAGGAAGATGCTGCTGCCCATATATATATATATATATATATATATATATATATATATATATATATATATATATATATATATATATATATATATATATATATATATATATATAAAGAGAGAGAGAGAGATCTCTTTATGGTAAATGTTGATCAGACGCGACTTCACGCGAGCACTTTGTTGATCCGAAAACGCATGTTGATCCGGCGCCGTTTGTTGATCCAATATGCATCTCTGGTAACTAATGTGGCTCCGACCGGATCAACATCTGCACTCACGAGACTGTTTGCTAGCGTTGGCCGAAGTTGATCCGATATACAAATCCACCTTGCGATGGTTACGGAAAATGTTGATCCGATTTAAATGAGCCAATCAGAGCACAGCAAATGATAAGATAAACGATCGGATTGGCTGAATGCAGCCGCGACGTTGCTGTTTCGTATCTTTGACGGTACAATCTACAGATTAAATGCGTGTTATGTAATGCATTCAGGGTGCTGTTTGGTCTACCTCGTTATTGTAATGCGCCGGGTATGTTCGCGGATGTGCGTGTGGATTGTTTCTAGACCACCATGCGTAAACGATGCACATCCCTGGTGCGCAGGGTGCGGGCCAGTTCCAATGGTATCCTGAGGGCATTTTCTGACAGGTTTGAGGTCAGTACCTGAACCATTGTCATATGGTGCACGCGCTGACTAATCGGGCCTGTCTTATATATAGTTTTAAAATTAGGTAAATAGTTTAAAGTTTTACGAAAATTAGTTTTAAGATTATTATTATTACTAACATCTGTGATCCTTGTGGTCCAAATAAACGACTTTTTTTAATGAATTATTCGACAACGCCCCTTCTTGTAGTGGAAGTGGTGACAACGACGACATAAGGTATTCGTCTGAGTGCATGTTTGCGTGCGTGCGTGCGTGCGTGCGTGTGTGTGTGTGTGTGTGTGTGTGTGTGTGTGTGTGTGTGTGTGTGTGTGTGTGTGTGTGTGTGTGTGTGTGTGAGTGTGTGTGAGTGGGTGTGTGCATGTGTGCACTATTGTGTTTGTGTGTGTGCCGTGTGTGTGCGTGTGTGAGTGTGTATGCGTTTGTGCGTGTGCGCATGTGTGCATGTTTGCGCGCGCTTACGTGTTTGTGTGTGTATGTGTGTTTACCATAAACCAGTTAACATGTTTTCTACATCTTCATAATCAAGATTTTAAGGACGCTTTTACAAAATTGATAGGTATAGAATCGAACTATTACATGATATATTATCATGAGACCTTACCTCCGGTCTTGATGGAGTAACCTCAAAATGTGATTCGGGATTACTAGTGGAACTCTTAGACTAGTAGAACTGGGTGTGCTGAGTTTGGGCTCGTTTTGTTAGTTATGATGAGTCCTTATCTCCGGACTTGCTGAAGTGACCTGAAGGTGTACTTTGGTAACTAACACTGTAACACCTGGACTAGAAGAACTAGGTATGCCGAGTTCGGGTTTGTTTTGTTAGTTATGATGAAACCGTCACAAAACAAAAGTTCTTTTCACTTTATCTCTAGTTCCAATAGGTATCCAAGCTGATATTCGGAAAAATGAATAACCTCGTAGTAACATCTTTAGGGGCAGTATCGATATCCACTTACCAGCCACACTGTTTTTCGCTGTAACCAACTGTCCTTTATATGAGCCTCACTTGCCCTCACGCGTTACCCACTTTACTGCACTCCAGTGCACCCACCACCACCTCTGCCACCTACACCTCCACATCTACCACCGCACCCCTCTCTAAGCCTTCGTTCTCCACCTCCGCTACCTTCGCCTCCACCATAAACTCTGCTCCATCCGCCTCAACAATAAACTCCGCTCCCTCCGCCGCCATAACCACGCGCCGTCACTATTCTTTCCGCCTCCAACACAATTCCCCGTTTCCACTATCTCCGACTTCACCACAATTCCTCTCCTCCGCCTTCGCCAAGTACTACGCTGCATTCACCTCGCCTCCACGTCTCCATTCTCCGCCTCCGTTTTCTGGGCGCATACACACAAATACACACACACACATACACACACACACACACTCACATACACAAATAAACACGCACTCTGACGAACACACACGCTCGCACACACACCCGCACGCACGCACACGCACGCGCATACACACACGCGCGCTCTCGCGCTCTCACATAAATACAGACACACACACACACACACACACACACACAGACCTACATACACACACACACACACACACACACACACACAGACCACAAATACACACATACACCGCCACACATACATACACGCGCGCGCGCGCTCATACATACACATACGCGCGCGCGCACATACACACACCCGCACATACACTCACACACGCGCGCGCGCGCACGAGCCAACACACATACACGCACAAGCACATACACAAACACAAAACAACAGTGGCCACACGCACGCACACACGCACACACTCGTACCCACACACAAAAGCAAACACACGCACAACCGCACACACACACACACACATAAACACACACACACGCGCGCGCGCGCGCACACAAATACTAACACACACACGCACACGTACTAAAAAAACACAACAGTGCACACTCGCACACATACACTCACACACACGCACACGCACATGCGTTCACACGAACACATACAACACATGAACGCACATACACCCACACGCACGCGCACACACAAACTCGCATAACACACACACACACACACACACACACACACACACACACACACACACACACACACACGCACACACACACACACACACACACACACACACACACACACACACACACACACACACACACACACTCGAGTGACAATTTGTAATAAAGTACTATCCATCATCTAAGTGATCTATGACAAATGAATAAAATAACACAAATTCACTTATATGTATATTCACACGATAACAAAAACTCGAACAAACGTCTTTCCACAATAAAACCTGCCAAATTTTGATCCACAAAATCAGCAGATAACGTATTTTCTTACCTTATTACTATAACGAAGTAGCTTACTGGGTTCTCTGTCACACACAGAACGCGACGTTGCCGCTTCGTGTTCGAGTACCTATTCGTCAATTATGGCTCCGGATCCACTTAGTCTAAGTAAATGTCGCATATAAATTAAATATACTCTGGATCTAAAAAATCATATTCAGTATGATTTTTTCGACCGTTGATAGATCAACAAATGTTGGTCACATCGCTGACGAGTATATTGAAATCCTGTTAGTGCAGATCCACCGACGTCACAAGCATATCAATAATGGATCAAAGTATATTAGTTTGTGCGACGAGGAGCTGAGCAAACACGTCAAATAGGTGGATCAACAATTTTTCTAACTTTGAAATAATACTAATTTTTACGGAATTTATCGCGTATATTTAACTTTTTTACCCGACGTTTCGAGAGCTTTACAGCACCCATGGTCACGGGAAGGACTGAGATGTTCAACGTCCAGCTGTCATAGTTAACCGCGGTTACCATAGATTAAAATTTAACTTTTGTTCCGATCTTTTTTCTAACTTCTCACTGGATCAACATTTACCGTGAAAGGATGATTATATATATATATGATTATAGGTCTCCTAATAAGTTGCCACACACAGCAAAGCAACCGGATAGAAACACAATATTTTCTGTTTTCAGCATGACATAGCACTTTAGTTCTTTTGTCTTTCTATTTATTAGTGTTCAATTGTAATAAAATTGTAATACTGTTAAAAATTCGAATACCAATGTGCTCCTAAATGGGGAGGACTTGAGTCTTGTAGATACCACCGATTTTCTTGGTAGTACTATTAACGCGAAGCTTCAACGAGGCCTCCATATATCTAAATTATCTGGCAGACTTAGTTTTGCAACATATGCTGTAAGAAAGCATTATGTCTTATGGAATTTTGCTATGGGCTAGTACGAGTGACATTGAAGTCATATTTGTTTTGCAAAAGAAAGCCATATGAGCTTAAATTGTAAAGAGCCCATTAGAGAAAAATTCATAGAAATAAACATAACAACTATGGCAATAAATTATATTTATGGAAATTTAAAGTGTATACATAAAAACATAAATAGCTTTTATAAGAATAAAGATGTT